ACTGGCTAAAAACAGAATGGTGATTCTATCATGATTGAAGCAAGCTTTAAATTTCATAATGTGAAAAATCGTAAACAAGGCTTCTAACATAGCAGAGTAAAGTTAATTACTTTAGTTAATTAATAAAATTTCACCCATTTTATAATCAGTGTTACTACTTTAATGTCACAGAATGCTTACCTCTTAAAGCTCAACAATTACTATTTTTCAGGAGACTTGTCTCTTCTCAATTTCTGCTTAGAGTTATACAATATAGACGGTAAGGTATCCTGCTTTGTTGCAGAAATGTTGTACATGCATCAAACAACTAGTAAGTGCTTCTTTCAAGTCAAAGCTATACTCCAACATCTTCTTTCTTCTTTTAAAATTATACAATCTAACCAATCTGTTTAGGTGGTACCTTTACAAGACATTCTGAAAGCAGGGCTTAGAAGAGAAAAATCCAGTTACCCCCCCAAGGTAATTTTTGAAATGGGAATTCAGAGTTTTTACTATGGGTTTCTCTGTAAATCAGTGGTTCCCAACCTTTTTATGCCCCACACTCCTAGGAAATGTTTGATTAATGTTCACACCCTCTACCAAAGTAATATCACATTTGAAGATGAAGAAGTCTAATTTCTAGTGCTGGTGAATAAATTGAACTTAAAAAAATAAGCTTTTAACTCAGTGCATAAAATTGTCGCACCCCCGATGCTCCATCTCGCACCCCCTGGGGGTGTGCGCAGTCCAGGTTGGGAACCCCCGCTGTAAATGATAACGAGTTTTTGAAAGAGAGGGGCAAGGTAAACTAGGTCATTTCTTGTCAGTGGGCCAACTTCTTCTGGGCGAGGGCACATCACTGGGGAAGCACCTGTACATAAGTTGTGTTTGTTGTACTTCTTATTCCATGATTTGCGGGATCTGGAACAGGGTGAGAGACATTAAGCCCTTTCTTTCTACTCCAACAGCACGAAGAAATCCAGCATCGATATTGCTAAGTAGCACCTGTCTCCCTTAGGACTTGGATTGGAGACCACTAGGCTATCCCAGGCTAGACTGGAAAGTCGAAAAGCCATTGTGGAAGAAAACAGGGACAAACCACTTCTCCCAAAGACTGCATGGTCTGTCCTTGGAGTCACTAGGATAACTCCAAGGCGCTCCACTTGAAGGAGGCTTCCACTTTTTTCCGCATAGTAAAACTGGATATAAAAAAATAACAGGACCCCCAGCTCCATTTCAAGCCAAAAAGTACTCGTCAAAAGGAAACCCGTTTAGCGAAGAGCTTCACATTTTCTTAGCGCAGCCTCTCGTCCCTGGGCGGAAACCCATCCGCTCTTCCGCCAATAATTGGCGAGATCTGCTCGACGCGCGCGCTGTCGCTAGGCAACAGCCCCAGCTTCGACGCCCCCCAGCTTCGGCTGCGGAAGGGCCGTATTGAGGGAGAGTCGAGTACCGATGGCGTGGATGCCTGAGCTCGGCTTTGAAAAGGGGCAAGCCCCTCTCTCCTTGCCAGCGCCTCTCTTGTTTTCCTTGTCCCGGAGGACTCACCTCGCTTTCCAGGCACTCTCACCGTCTCCAGCGCAGGAGGCAAAGTCGGGGCTCGACTGATCCGGCCTAGAGCGCGGGCATTTTGATGGGCTCTGGAAGCGGCGCAGGGAAGAAAGACCCCGCCTTCTTCGTCCGGGATCCCGATGGCGTCGGTGCTGGTAGGGCCAGTCGCTTGAGCGGGGCGCTGCTCGTTTCGCAAGTGGTGGGAAGGGTCTTTCGCCCCTTCCTCAATATTGTTTCCGTTCGCTTTCGCTGTTGGCTCACGCGTTGACCGAGCTGACGGCTGAATTGGCGGCTGTGTTTTCGCGGCGCCCTGAATCACAAATCAGCCACGAACTGTTTTCCCAGCCTGGAGCGCTGAACTCAGCTCGTGCGTGTGGTTTCCTGCGTGTTCAGTGTCTCATGCGCGCCCGGAACATTGAATTGAGTAAACTGTGGTCTGTGAGCCGGGGTGGACCGTGGTGCAAACACAGCCCTGAACTGCTGCTCCGCTCCGGTGCCCTTGCGCTCAGTTGAAACTCCTGAATTCTCTGTCCCAGC